CTGACACGTCTTGGCCTCTAGGAAACTCATACTAATGCTGTGGAGACTGAATTCTAGAGGGCGAGCAGGTGTCGCCTGTGGATGTCCCTTTGAACAGAAAGCTCCAACCTCTCATTACCGCTGCTTTCAGCACATAATTACTCAAGCTGATACAGGAAACCATTGACGGTGGTCCTGTTTACTCCAAGTACAAGTTCGGGAAGGAGGAAGCGGTTCGGCGGCAGGCGGCAGTCACAGGACGCTCTGTGGCCCATGGAGATGTTGGAAAGGATGGTTTTGAGCAGATACCGCCTTTGCACAATCGCCTTTGGCATTATGCTGATGAAGTTCTCCCCAAGAGATAAGATATGCAATTTAGTGTTAAAATGATTGGTTTTGGAGATTTGTAGGACAAACTTAGAAAAGTAGGCAAAAGTATCATTCATGGTTGCACGTGGGGCGACAGGTAGTTTTCTTATATTGACAATTATGTATTTTTATTTACGGTACTTTTTTTAAACAAGAAGACGGACAAAGGAACACGATGCTGGTGTGTGAGGTCGTAATAACGGCACACTCATTCGCGTCCCACCTGCTCACGCCAGTTCAGACACACTTTGGACAGAGATCAGCTTGACTTGAGAAGGGTCTTGTTTGCCCACAGAATTCAGGCCCTGCTGTTCGCCGAGGCCTCCCGGCGACTAGCTCGTGACTCGAGTTGGTGGGTCAGCGAGGGACTAGGAGGTGGATGGCTTGTGCTATGTGGTGGCCCCACGGGTTGTGTGTTTGCAGTAGGCATCACGTGACACCGCACTAGAATCGGTCAATCCGCACAAAAATCACGTTAGATAAGCTCCAGGAAGACACAGCACCGCCCGAGAACAAAACCGCACGAGAACATAAACATAAAGGGGTCTCCCCTGGCTGGAGCCCTGTTGCGACTCCGAGTCCTTGAGCAGGTGGGTTGGCTGCACGCATACGAAAGCTCGAAGGAGTGCCTCTCAGTCCTGAGTGCATTTGGGGGACTTGAGAAAGTTAGCGTGACACATGGAATTAAAAATATGAATTTAGGGGCTGGCAGGTGGCATGGAGGTTGTGGATAGAAATAACCAACTCTGTAGAAATGACAATTAATGCAGTTGATTTCTGAGCACAAATGTGTATGACCCAGGCCTGGAGAAGAGGCAAACATGCTTTCTTGGAGTGAACAGGTTCAAGGGTTCCTTTTATTTGATTTTGAGAGTGAGAGACAAAGTTTGGAATTTGGTCGAAAGAGTCCTTTCATTGGTCTGGTCCAAAAGGCAGGACGCCTGGAAGTGGGGGCTTGTAGGCCATAGGAGGGTTGACAGTCTTCAGGCTGGACTGGAAAGGGAGGTCTGGGTTTCAGGAAGGCGTCAGCCATGTCCTGTCACAGAAATAAGGGGATTGCGCACAGTCCAAGACGATACTGAACCAAGGACGGGGTGTAGGAGGAGCCCTGTTACCAACTGCGCCAACACGGCCTGTTCGTGTGCGTGGGTGTGGCTTGCCCCAGGCCCTCTGGAAGGGATTTTGGAAATAGGAAAAAGCAGTCAGACTTCTGTCCTAAGGTGAAGGAGTTGGACTCCCACATGGCCTACTGCGGTTTCAATTCCAGACTCGGCGGCTTGACAATTGCACTGGGTGCGTGTGCAAACGCGTCCAAAATTCTGAGAGAAGAATAGAGGAGGGGGGTTTTTGGTATGGCCATCCCCCATGGGAGTGATTCACCATTTTTCCTGTCTCTGTCTCTCTTTGGCAAGTGCATGTACCCTATGGCGAAAACCAAAAACCAAACAAACAACAGCAAAACATTAAAAAATGAATTTATTTTGCTGCAAAAATGCTGAAATCCATGTGTGGTTTACATAGTGCACACTTTCCCACGGGCTGTCTGAAGGCCCTGGGTGTGGCTGGACGGAGCTCTGCGGATGGCAGCGTGTCTGGGATTTACCTTACGCCAACCTGAGGGGGGATCGGCCAGGGCTGATTGTCCCGGGCAAGGCCTCAGGCGCTCGGCCCTAGGCCCCCTCTGTGTGTCTGCATGGAAGTCTCCCTTACAAAGATGCACAAGGCTCACCCACATCCATCCCGACCACGGAGCTGTTTTCTCCAGGGTAAAACCCCGTGGGTTCTGGTTAGACACGTGAGGACTACAATGTGGGACCCTTGAGATGCTAACTCTCTTTTTTGCCGGGTTTTCTTTCAAGCACCAACTTCAGTCCACGGACAGCCTTGAGGTGCTCGGGTGCCTCATACCTTGGATGCTCTGGGGACAAGCCGTGGGGAGCAGTGGGGTGGGGTGCCAGCCGGGATGCGGCTGACGGGCAATCACACCTGCAGTCTTTCGCTACACCCTGGCCTGCGCCAGGCTCTGCCCCTCAGAGAAGAGCCATGGGGACCAGCAGATGGTGTAATGGCTATGTCATGGGCTCCCATGTAGTTGTGGTTCAAGTCCTGGACCTGGTGACTTAAAACTCATACCAGGTGTGTGTGTATGTGTGTGTGTGTGTGTGTGTGTGTGTGTGAGTGCCTCAACTCCTGAGAGGAGAATGGAGGGGAAGGGATTGTGGTGTGGTCATCCCCTCTGGAGGGTGATTTTTCACTTTCTGTCTGTCTCTCCAGCAAGCACATACAAAAGAAAAGATGCACGATCGATCCCTTTGCTGGGTCTCCAGGTGGGAGGGGTACAGGCTGTGGAGGAGCTGACCAGCCTGGGGCCCTGACCTGGGCTCTGTTTGAGGCTGGCTGCGCCTGCCCAGGGGAGCAGCCTGGGGCTCGCCGAGATGATTTGGGTTTGGTTCCAGACCTGCCTCAGGCTGCTGTGGCTCTTTGCAGGGCATGGAGCAGGTGATGGCGACCCCATGGCCCAGGGCCGCCCCTGGCCAGCCCCGTGTATTCAAGCTGGTTCTCCTGGGAAGCGGCTCGGTGGGCAAGTCCAGCCTGGCTCTCCGGTACGTGAAGAACGACTTCAGGAGCATCTTGCCCACCGTGGGATGTAAGTCGGCCTCCGTGTGTCTGCTGGGGAGAGGCCAGGGCCGCTGACTCATGGGGGGCAGATGAGGACGAGGTCTCCTTGGGTCCCCAAGTGGTCCTAGAGCCCCGGGGGGTCCAGGTCCTTCAAGGGCAGGCATACACGCATCTCCAGGACATGTAAGCCTGGGGGCCAGGGATTCAGGGTCAGGGGCTCTAATTCTGAGGGGTGGGGATGTGAGGGATTGTCCAGTGGAAGGGGATCTATTAAATGCCGCCCCTGGCACTGGCCTCTCAGCTGCCACACCAGGACCTCTCCACTACGTCCCCTCCAGGCCACCCTCTGCTCACTCCATGCCCTAGGCTGATTGTCCCAGAGTGTCTGGCGTCCCGCCTGGACTCGGCTTAGTAACCTGGCCTGGACTTGTGAGGGGGCGGGGAGGGCAGCCCTCTCACTGTGCTCCTCGAAGGGGTGGCCTGTCCGTGGCAGACACCCTGCTCCCCTCCTGAAACCGGGGCCCCAGCGTGTTCTTCGCAGCAGCCCTCCCCAAGGAAGCAGTCATGGTGGAGCGTGCTCGCTGGATGAGAGCTTTGGCTTCAGGGTCGGACTCTGCCACGGATAAGCCGCCTGCGTCTTCGAACTCGCGCTCCCTCATTCGTTCATCCCGTCATTCGCTTTTTTGACACGTGTCTGTGACCGGGAGACACTTGATACTCTGTCCCTGGAGGAGGTGGGCAATTCTGACCGCAGCTGAGCAGATGTGTCGGACGGACACAGCTGCGAGGCCTGTGAGCCGTGCCGTAGCCGGTGTTGGGGCATGCATTGGCCTTTTTAGGCGGGAAACAGGGTGGGCGCCGGCCGAGCCCAGGGCACGTGGTGGCCTGAGCCCTTCTCTCCACTGTGGGGCAGCGTGGATGTTTCCCAGCGAAGGCACGCAGGGGCCTCCCACATCCACTCTCACCTGGGAGATGTCTCCCCCAGGGATGCCACAGACACAATGAGGGGCCTCAGACACAATGAGGACTGAAGTGTGGGTGGAAGTGACAGGTTGGTCTAAAAGGGGGGCCTGGGGGACAGTCCAGACAGTTCCCAGGCTGGCTGGGCGTGTGGCAGCCCTCTTTTCTCCCGGAAAATCCCACGGTGAGGGGCTTGGCTTCCTTTAAGGGAGGCCTGCAGGGGGCTTCTGCTGGGACACCGAGTCAGAAAGCTGCCCGGCCTCGTCCACACAGCGAGCGCCAGGAACTGGGGCCTGCAGACGTCCAGTGTGGCCCCTTGAATGCCGCTGACCATGGCAAAGGAGCTCTGGCCTCTTTCTCTTTCTTAGTGACATCTCAGGAGTTTGGTGACAGCCAGCGCTTCTGTGCACAGTAGTCAGTCGAAGCCAAAATGAGCCCAGACAGGCTGGACTCTGAGGGAAGGGCCAGGGGACAGCAGGGGCGCATATACTCCACTCTGCCACCAGGTGGCACCCCTCCTCCGCGTCCTCCGGCCCCTGAAAGTTCCCATCTCTTGCTCCTTCCAGCCAGTGATCAGCTTCTGATTCCTGCAAAAGAGGCTCCTGCTGACTTCAACAGCGGGATCAGCTGTTTGTTTTACACTGAGAGATAAAAACAAAGCCACTTTCCACGGGCGTTTAGTGGCGGCTGTTCTGGACATGGGCCATGAAGTGCCACTTCCAGGCCACTTGGCGCAGGGCAAGGCCCTCCAGCTCCCAGAGCTCGGCCTCAGAGCAGGAGGGCTGTGGGAAGACGAAGACGGGAAGGCAGGAGACGCGCTTGTGCACCACGGACCTCCGTGGTGCACACTGTGTAGACAGTCTGTGTGTGCCTGCACCAGCATCTTCCAGAAGTCAGGACAGGTGCGTGGCTTTGGCTCCCTCGGGCACCCACACCCCGTCTTGTTGCCAATATCTCTTTAGGCAATATCTCGAAATCTGTCTGGATTTTGAAATTTATTTTAATTTTTTAAATAAAAATAAATGGAAATGGGATCCCTGTGTCGTCCTGCTGCTCAGCCTCCTCTGTAGCTGGGGCTGCAGGTGCTGGCCCCACGCCTGGCTCTGTCAGATGGGGTCTGGCTGTGTCACCCAGGCCTGCTGCAGGCTCACAATCTCCTGCCTCAGCCTCCCGAGTCTGGGACTGCATGTACACGACCCTGTGCCCGACCTTTAGGCTGGGCTGGCACTCAAACTTGGGACCCTGTAGTGCCAGCCTGCTGAGCGCAGTGTTAGCAGTACTTGCCACTGTGGCTGGGCCAGAGATTTGCTTTTTAATCACTCTTTGGCATCAGCTTTGAAGCTGCAGAGAATGTGATCAGTAGGTTCCTGAAAAAGAAAGTCACTAAAGACGTGTTCTCTTCTGGGTCAAAGCCAAAGAGCACACGGGCAAGGCTGCATTGGGCCCTGCCCAGGCCCACCGAGGGGCCTTGGTTTACAGAACATAGAACATGACGTTCTAAAAAAAAGAAAGAGAAAGACCGAGTTCTGTACACTGCGCACTCCTTGGCGGTGTGCTGCGATCTCGCCCTGCTGTGAACTCACCCGCCAGCCGTCATATTCAGGGTGGAAAGAGAAATGTCAGAGGCTGAGGGTGGGGGGAGCCTGGGGCACCCCTGCCTTGGCTTCCACATGGAGCCAGCCCTGGGTGCTGGGTGCCGGGCCTGTGTTGTAACACCGGGAGGACTTCCCGCTTAAGCTCCCTCGTCTGTCACGGCAGCCCGGGGCGCTCACACTGTCCTCAGCCTGGACGTCTGATGTCTGAGGACAGCTCACGGCTCTGTTGGGCTCTCTCCAGCCTGGGGCCGGGGCAGGGCAGGGGACATCTGCTCTCCCCGCCCCTCCCCCAGTTCTGCACCGATGGGAAAGGCATTTTGCCTGTTAAATATTTTAAAATCGTCATCTTGGCAAGCAAAGCCCAGTGGCAGAATCTTCAGTGGAAAGTGCATGGCCCAGTGTGTTACTGAAGGTGTCGGGGGTCGAGGGGTGGGACCTCTGTGTCGCAAAGCAGGTTCACACACATGGGACCATGTCCTGCCCCGGGTGCTCACTGCTCTCGGCCTGGTGTGCCTGGGTGTGTCAGGACACAGGGGCACAGGGAGGCCGAGATGGGATGCTGCTCTGGAAGAGGTGGGGAGCCCAGCAGCTGGCCCGACGGCTGGTGCTCAGAGACCTGGGTGGACACGTAAGTCTTCCAGGTGGAGAGGAAGGAGGATGCCTTGCTGAGAGGGCAGCAGAGAAGGGCAGGGGCAGTGACAGGGAGGCTGGGCAGGTGAGCAGGAGCCTAGCAGGGCTTGGAGGTGCTGGTGTGATCGGGAGTGCCCTTTGCAAGGTGGACCTGGCAAACCTGGCAGCCAAGTGGCCAGCGGCCAGTGGTCCAAGGCCCTGGGTCCCCAGAGCCCCACTGCATTGGCAGCTGCATCCGGCTCTGGTTACTGGAGCGTCCCGTTGCCCACATGCAGTCCAGAGTTTCCAGGTGGGACCCGGAGTCTGTCTCCTCACCACAGCCCCTGGGCAGTTTGCGTAGGAACACGGAGATCTCTGCAAAGCCTTGGCTAGCGTGGAACAGTCTGCCCACCTCCCTGTCCCCAGGGTGTGCACCCACCTCCCTGTCCCCAGGGCGTGCGCCCACCTCCCTGTCCCCAGGGCGTGCGCCTCACTCCCTGTCCCCAGGGCGTGCTGACCCCAGGATGTCCAGGGCGTGCGCCCACCTCCCTGTCCCCAGGGCGTGCGCCCACCTCCCTGTCCCCAGGGCGTGCGCCCACCTCCCTGTCCCCAGGGCGTGCGCCCACCTCCCTGTCCCCAGGGCGTGCTGAGCCCAGGACTCGCACAGCCCGGTCTGACCGGAGGATGGAAACCTCGTCCTCTAAGTGAACCCTCTTGCCTCTCGTCCCAGGTGCGTTCTTCACGAAGGTGGTGGATTTGGGCTCCTCGTCTCTGAAGCTCGAGATCTGGGACACGGCTGGCCAGGAGAAGTACCACAGTGTCTGCCACCTCTACTTCAGGGGTGCCAACGCCGCGCTCTTGGTGTACGACATCACCAGAAAGGTGCGGCTCGTGGAGGTGCCCACCTTCCTCGGGTGCGGGCGCTGTCTTCTGCAGGGATTAAGGCCCAAGCTGGTGCTTGATGGTCTAAGCAAGACTACAAATAGAGAGTGTCAGTCACCTCCTCAAAGAGGCCCTCCTGATCGCCCCTCCTGCTCTCCTGTGGCCTTCCAGCACACCCTGCACTTGGCGCCTCCTCCCATCGCTCCCTGCCCTTCGGTGCTGCCCAAACTGCAGAGGCAGGCCTCTCGGAAGCAGGACAGCCCCAGCCCTGCCAGAACTTCCCCCCACGGGGCGTCAGCTGCACGGAGCTGGGTGCTGTGAGCACACGGGAGGGCGGCGTGCTTGGTATACACAGGGCCCCGTCCTCCAGGGTAGGGCCTCCTTCCCAAAGGGTCTGGCCTCCTGTCCTGGGTGGGGGAGTAGGCTGGAGACTGCAAGGTGGGCGGGCAGGAGGGGCTGGCAGAGGGCCCTGGGCAGGAGTGCGGGGCTGCTCTGTCAGCTTCCCTGCTGCAGGCCAGGGCTGGAGATCCTGTGTCTGGTTCATCTGGTTCACAGTGCGCGGCGGTTAGGACAGGGCTGCCGATGGCCACTCCTCCAAACTCCTGCGCGAAACGGTGCTTTGAGGGCGTCGGGGCGTGGAGGCCTCAGGCACCAGCCCCCCCGCACACCTGGGGGCCGTGCAGCTCCCTGTGCCTGCAGTTCCTGCCTGGCTGTGCTGCAGGGAGGACCCCAGCACTCCTCAGGGGGTCCAGGCCCGAGGTGGCCCTGGCCAGACCTGCAGCCTGTCAGGTTGCCAGCCCCGGCTGTGCCGGGAGTGCCTGGCCAGGCCTCCCGAGCCCCGCGCTGACAGGGCCGCCTCTCTGGCAGGACTCCTTCCACAAGGCGCAGCAGTGGCTGGCGGACCTGGAGAAGGAGCTCTGCCCCGGGGAGGTCGTGGTGATGCTGGTTGGAAACAAGACGGACCTCGACCAGGAGCGGGAGGTGACCTTCCAGGTGTGGCTATGTGATGGGGCCACGCCCCAGGAAGGGGGCACAAGCACCTCAGCATGCCCATGCACATGCAAAAATGCATGCACACGTGCACGCACACATGCACACACATGTGCGTACACTTGAACACAGACCCTGAGCACACACAAATGTGCACACACACACCTACTCAAGAATGCACACCCACACACATGCATAACCACACACATACACACACATGCATAAGCACACACGTGCACACATAGACACATGCATTTATACCCAGACAGGTTCACAAACTCATACATGCAACACACATGCACAACTCACACTTTTATACAAATCCTACCCACACACTTATGTTCGCACACTCACATAATTCACAAACATGTGCACTCTCATAAGTGCACACACATGTGCACACATGCATGTGTATGCACACTCACATTTTCTATCTGAACTTTTAACCACAAGGTGTTCAGCTCTTTTCCGGAAGGCTCGGTCCTCTGGGCTGTGTGACAGGGCTGTGTGACAGGGAGAGCCTTCCAAACCCCTGGGGGAGTGTGCGGTGACACTAGCCTGCCAGCCCAGAACTTCAGAAAGGAAACCAGACACTCCCAACCAACAGTAACCGGCTGCTCCCTCCACCTCCCACCCAGGCTCCAGAGTCTCTGGGCCCTGCTCCTGTGCTCTGTGGTTGCCAGCACCCTTTCATTTCCCTCCCCTCTCCCCCTGCCCACCCGGAGCTCCCCCTGCACCCTGCTGACCTCCGGCCATTGCTCCTCGAGAGCCTGCCCTTCACCTTCTCCCTCAGTCTCCCGGGGCCTCTGAGCACGCTCACCCTCACCTCTTCTGAGTCACTCCGGGCCCTCTGTACAGGGGTACAACACTGCCTAGTGTTGTCCTGTCTGTCTGTCTGTCTGTGGGAGCATCTCCTTCCCCACTGCACTTAGGGTGAGGCCGATCCAGGGCAGGCTGAGGAAGGAAACGGGGCTCCAGTCAGAGAGGGAGAGGACTCCAGTTCCCCTCGGCTCCTCGTTCCCTGGGCCTTATGCGCAAAGCCGGGCACGTGTTCTCAGGACACTGTTCTCACAAACACGGGCCGTGCGGCTGTCTCCCTCAGGAAGGGAAGGAGTTCGCGGAGAGCAAGCGGTTGCTGTTCATGGAGGCCTCGGCCAAGCTGGACTTCCAGGTGTCCGAGCTCTTCACCGCCGTGGGTGAGTGCCTCGTGGGGCCCTCCTGTCTGGGCTCTGGGTGGTGGCTGCAGGGGTGGGGTCGGGCCACCCTGGTCTGCAGGGCTGGGGTGGGGCCCGTCCCAACCCCCTCTTCCCTCTTTGTGTCACAGCCGGAGAGCTGCTGCGGAGAGAAGTCCAGGAGGGGCAGAGCCAGCGGGCGCCCACGTCTAGCCCCACCAGGCCAGCCCAGTGCTGTGCCCACTAGAAGCAGCCCCTGCAGGAGGGCCGTGGACGGGGGTGCCCAGCCCTGCTCTGGAAGGCCCAGGCTTGCCTCACTGGGGCCCAGGCCTGCCTTGAACGGGCACCCAGGGCTGCCTCGGGGGGAGGGGTGTGCCAGGCCTGCCTAGGGAGGGGTGCCCAGGCTGCTTTGGTGGGGCTAGCTGGGCCATCTTGAGGGTGGGCCCCCGCCAGTTCTGCACTGACCTGGACTCGCTGTGGACCCCGGATTGTGGCTGAGCCCTTGCAGGGCCTGGAAATCAGCACCTTTTAGGATAATGCTCCACAAGCCAGCGGGGATTGCTGATGGAGGACCTGGTGTCCCGTGGTCCCCAGAAGAGGGTTGGCCCCACCGGCCTCTGGCCTCTGGCCCCTGCATGCTCGCGGCCAGTGTGTGCGCCCTGCCTGGACCATCCCCTCTGCCTGGCGCTCGACACAGGAAGACGGGGCAGAGAGGAGGCAGGGACGCGGGAAGGGTCAATACTTTGATCGCTGAGTGGTGGACAGACGCCATGTACCTGGTTCGGGGCCAGGTGGGACCTGGGTCACCTGCCACTGGGAGAGGCTGGGCCCAAGCCACTGGGAGAGGCTGGTCCAAATGGAGAAGGCCGAACCAGGAGGAGGCAGAGCGACCATCTCAGGGGACGTGCCCCCACTCTCTCCCGCTCGCTGTGAATTTGTGGAGGAAATCTGTCCCCGGAGCATGGGGACGCTCAGACTTTGGGTCCAGTTTGCGTGAAGGACACCATTCCAGCTGTTGAACCTTGACCTGGGGTGGAGCTTAGCCCACTGGAGCCCTGGCAAGGACTGGGGAGAGGGCATGAAGGCCAACTGTTGGGCAGGGCCCGCCTTGGCAAGGTCACCCAGGATGGCTGTGTCCCTGGCCAGAGGTCACTCTCCCCTCCAGCGGCCTCTCCCTCCTCGCGTCCTTTAGGCCCAGGTGGGCACAGCTCTGCCAGTCTGGATTTCTCAGCGTGTGAACAGCATGCGAACCTTTGTAGGCAGCCCTGCTCCCTGAGGCTCCTGCGCTGTCAGTGGCTCTCCTACCTGGAGGGGTGCACAGAGCCACCTGCCCGCCGGGCCCTGCAGGCCAGCCTCGGTTCTGCGCGGACGGACTCAGCTCAGGTGTCTCTCGGGCTCAGACTTTCCCGGGGCTCATGTGACCGAAAAGAAACTGCTGTGCTTGTAACTGGACAAATGTAGACCAGGCTTTCTCTCGTCATGGTCTCTGATAAAAGCTAAAGCATAAATAAAGACCACGGTAACTTCGGAAGGGCCCGATTCCTCCATCCTCACTCTGCTGTCCTGCTCCTTAGACAGCTTCAGAGGTGAGCCCGGAGCTGCCTGGGGGTGCACTGCGGTTCTGGCTGGTACGTGGAGCATGTTTCACGTGTTCGTTCCTTGCAGGGGCAGCATGGGTGTGGTTTCTGCAGTACATCCGTGTCCTTGCGCTCCTGGACCCTTTCCCCAGCCATCCCCAGGGCCGAGGAGCCTGCACCAGGCAGGCTACACTCACTGGGGAGGTGGGGCGGTTGAGGCTCCCCATGGCCACCAGGCGGTGTTCAGCACCATGTAAGCAGTGCCCTAAGCACAGGGGCCTGGAGTGCTGGTGTGCCCTTGGCCACGGGGCAGATGCAGGCTGCTGAGAGGGAGACTGCAGGACGCTGGCACGTGGGGTGCCCCTGCCCAGCCTGCCAGACCACTCCCACTAAGCTGGTGCCTATTATTAAACTACACCCGTGCGCATTTCCATCAGGGCCCTTCCACAGCCCCCCGAAGCTTCATGGGCCCGTGGTCCTGAGCACCGGGTGCCCCATCTCCTGACTGCCTCTTCCCCTTTCCTCCTCCTCCCTCCTGAGCCAAGAGGGTCCCCAAAGCCAGAGTCATCCGGGGAGTTTCAGGAAGCCCCGTGCCTGCCTCCCACACAGAGGTTCCACCCTGGGATATCCTGCTCCCCCGGGAAGCCCAGTGTGCGGGTCAGGCTCAGACCCTCCTTGAGGGCAGAGCGCCGTCTGTCTGTCTGCCTGTCCTTTGGGATTCCAGTGCCCGGTGTTTCTGGTCACAGCAGGTGTACCACAAACATGCACCCAGTACAGGGAAAAGGTCAGTCCCAGAATCCTGGAGACAAGGCATGCTCTTCTAAAGCAGCCTCTGCCACTGCTGATGGGCCTGGGAGGATTCCTAGACTTCCTTGTCCTCACCCACATTCCTGTCCACATCCACTTCACATCCATGTGCACGTCCACATCCACGTTTTCTTCCATATCCACGTCCACATCCACATCCATGTCACATTCATGTGCATGCCCACATCCATGTGCACGTCCACATCCACATCCATGTGCATGTCCACATCCACGTACACTTCCACATCTATGTCCACATCCATGTGCACGTCCATATCCACATCCATGTGCATGTCCACATCCATGTCCACATCCATGTCACATTCATGTGCATGCCCACATCCATGTGCATGTCCACATCCACATCCACATGCATGTCCATATCCACATTTCCTTCCACATCCATGTCCACGTCCACATCCATGTCACATTCATGTGCATGCCCACATCCATGTGCATGTCCACATTCACATTCATGTGCATGTCCACATCCATGTGCACGTCCACATCCACATCCATGTGCATGTCCACATCCATGTACACTTCCACATCCATGTCCACATTTATGTCACATTCATGTGCATGCCCACATCCATGTGCATGTCCATATCCACATCCACGTACACTTCCACATCCACGTCCACATCCATGTCACATTCATGTGCATGCCCACATCCATGTACACATCCACATTGGTGTTACATTCGTGTGCATGCCCACATCCATGTACACATCCACATCCATGTCACATTCGTGTGCATGCCCACATCCATGTACACGTCCACACCCACATCCGTGTCACATCCACATGCATGTCCACATCCATGTACATATCCACATCAATGTCACACCCACATGCATGCTCACATCCAGGTACACATCCACATCCATGTGCTTGCTCATGTATGCATACATGTTCACATCCACATGCATGCCCACATCCATGTTCATGCCTACATCCATGTACACATCCACATCCACATGCACGTCCACACCCACGTACATGCCCACATCTGTATATACATGTCACATCCATGTGCATGCTCACACCCACATACACGTTACATCCACATGCATGTGCACACTCACACCCATGTACACGTCCACATCTATGTGCATGCTCACATACATGTGCATGTCCACATCCACGTGCATGCTCATGTCCACATCCACCTTCACGTCTATATCCATGTGCATATCCACATGCACATCCATGTTCACCTCCATATCCACATGGTACACAGCTACATCTGTGTGCACATGCGTGTCCACATCCACGTCCATGCCCTGATAGTGCTCTTATCATATCTGTGTCCTCGTCCACGTTCTCATCTACATCCTTATCCTCATCTCCCACATCCCACCTTGCCGCATCCTCCCTGATGTGCGGGAGGGAGGGCTGGGCCGGGGTGACAGGAGGCCTGGCCCTCAGGAGCGCTCTGCTGCCCGGCCTGGGACCTGGACCTTCCCCCTTCTCCTGCGTTCCCCTGCATGCATTCCCTGTCCAGTCCTTGGATGGGCCCCAGCCAGACACAGGCTGACTCACAAACCGAGCCCTTCAAAACTGATTCCCTTCTTGGGCCTCCAAGCTATCAAATTTTGGACAATTTCAGAATCAAAAGTTATTTGTAAGGTGCTGAACAGCAATGACAAAATGGGAACGAAAATTAAGAAAGAGGAAAAACAAAGGAAAAGAGAAATACCCCTTTTAGAAGAATTTAGCCTGTGGATGTGGAAGGAATTACTGTCTCCTCTGGGTGACTGCTATGATGACCGGCCTGGCAGGGACAGCACAGGCTTAAACCTTAGGCTGTGAGCTGGCTGGGAACGGCACACTGTCCGGGGCCCGGGCCTTCACAGGTTGCATACTGGTCATGCTGGAAAAGCCCACGCAGCGTGTGTGGGCAGGCTGGTTCCCTCTGAGAGCCATGGGGGAGATGTGCTTCCAGACCCTGCTCCGAACTCTGGGGTTCCCGACAGTCTTCCCGCCCATCTCAGTTTCACACGGCACTTCCTGTGCACCCATCTGTCCAAGTTCCACCACCCCCTTTGCAAATTTTTGTATTTATTTCTTCCAAGAGAGAAAGAGAGACCGATGCTCCAGCTGGGGCTTCATCGCCATCCTCCCCGGCCTTGGCCAGCCCAGGCAGCGCGCGTGCACACACACCTGCTCCTGGAGTGATTGTGGAGGCCTCAGGATGTGAACCTAGGACCTCCCTGCGTGGGACCAGCATTACGGGGCTTTACTCTGCCACTGGGCCCCAGCTGCCCCCATGTCCCATTAGTGGGAAATTGGACTGGGCCCACCTCAAGCCACTCTGACTCCTGCCTCACTACCGGCACCACCCCAGCCCTTTTTCCAAATAAGGCTCCATTCTAGGAACTGGGGTTATGCTTCAGCACGGGAATTCGAGGGGTGGGGTGAGCACACATGAAGCCCTAGCCGGAGGCAAGCCCCAGCACTGTGGAGGGAGCTCCAGTCCCCCCAGGGGACTCTGTGCTTGCTTTCCTGGCCGCTCCCGGCCCATCAGGCAGAGGCCAGGCTACAGCCTCTCTCCCGAGTACTGGGGGGAAGAGCCCCTTCCCTATGGCCCTCTCGGGGCGGGGGAGGTCCCCGAACCCTGGCAGTGTCAAAGGAGCCTCTCCCTACAGGAGAGACGGTGATTTCCTTTGGACAGTGGTCACTGCCCTTCAACCCCTTCCCTTTGCCAGCTGCTTGGGCCTGTCCTGCTGGCCCCTGCCCTGGCTGTCGCTCCCTGCAGTGCCTGTCTCTGCAGACGGACTTGCCTCGGCTGGGCAGGATGGGACCAGGCGACCGTTCTCTGCGTGGCCTTCGCTGCACCTCCCTTCCTGCCTCCTGCCTCTAGGCATGCCCTGTGTCCACAGCTGCCCATCTGAGCTGGGCCCAGTCCCGAGGAGGTGTTCTTACTGTGCCCCCGGCTCCGCAGGGGCCTGGAGCCCATGTCACACCTTGGTGGCCATTCGTTCTGTGTCTCTTGTCTGTGCCCTGCACAGAGCTGGGGGCTCTTTTTATGTATGTATGTATGTGTGTGTGTGTATGTGTGTCTGTGTGTCTGTGTGTCTGTGTGTGGCTTTTAGCACATTCACTGTGTTCTCCGGCCACCCGCTCAGCCTAGTTCTGACATTTCATTCTCTGTGAAAGGAAACCTCATACCTCTTTCACAGTCGCGCTCGTTCAGCCCTCTGCCCAGCCCTGGCAGCCACTGGCCCACTTTCTGTCTCTGCGACATGGCATATTCTGGACCTTTCATACACGTGGGATCATGTGACGTGTGGAATTTCATGCCTCCTTTCACTCAGTGTAATGTCTTCCAAGTGCATTCGTGCTGTAGCCTGTGTCAGGGCTTCTTCGCTCCTTTTCATGGCCAAATAATATTCCATGGCATGGATAGAGCCCATTTTAGTCATCCATTCATCTACTGGCGGGTGTGACGGGACACTCGCTTCCCCCCGGATTCATATGTTGAAACTCTGCCCCTCAGTGTGATGGTGTTTGGAGGGTCTTAGGTCATGAGGGTGGAGCCCTCATGGAGGGAGTTAGTGCCTGGACGAGAAGAAGCCGGAGAGCAGCCTCCCCTGCCCGAGATGATGCAAGAAGGCAGCATCTGCCAGCCAGCTGGGATGTCCTCCCCAGACCCCAGCATCTGCCGGCCAGCCGGGATGTCCTCCCCAGACCCCAGCATCTGCCAGCCAGCGGGATGTCCTCCCTAGACCCCAGCATCTTCCAGCCAGCCGGGATGTCCTCCCCAGACTCCAGCACCTGCCAGCCAGCGGGATGTCCTCCCCAGACCCCAGCATCTGCCAGCTAGCTGGGATGTCCTCCCCAGACCCCAGCATCTGCCGGCCAGCCGGGATGTCCTCCCCAGACCCCAGCATCTGCCAGCCAGCCGGGATGTCCTCCCCAGACCCCAGCATCTGCCAGCCAGCATGCGTCCTCCCCAGACCCCAGCCCTGCCGGCACCTCGGTCCGGCCTTCCAGCCTCTGGAACTGGAGAGGAACATGCACATCATTCCAGCCTCCGTGCCCATAGCTCCTCGTTACGGCAGCCCAAGCTGATTAGGTGGCGGTAGGCCGGGCTGTCCCCACCGCTGTCGTGGCCATGTTGCACGAGGCTCTGACGTTTGCAGTCCGTCTCGGGCATACACCTGGGCATGGACTCACTGGGTCCCGTGGTGGTGCTATGTCTGACTCCAGGAGGGCCCTCCAATTCTCTCCTGCTCTCCTGGGTCCTTTGGGGCTCGAGGCTCCCTGTGGTGGAGGTGGAGCTTCCTCATGGCCCATGTCAGGTCTGGGTCTGGAGCTCAGATGGACAGGAGGCCCAGGGCAGGCAGGGCTCTGGGAGCATCGCTAGTGGGCAGGACCTAGCACGAGCTTCGGGTGTAACTGGTTAGACGTGACCCAGGCTGGACTCCGGCTGGGCCTCAGAGGAGGGGCTCGCACCCTCCCCGCCCACTCGGTGTGTTCTGCGCTCAGGAAGGAGGTGTTGCTGTCCCATATTGCTCAGCTGTGGGCACGAGGCTGAGAGCCGAGGTCAGGGAACCAGGCATTGTAGGAGTTGCCTGGATGCCAGAGCGGGTTCCATCTGAGGCAGGATGTAGAGACGCCTGTGTGATTTGAAAGGGACACCGTGTGGACTGAGGCAGCGGGTGGTAGCGGCCCGGGGTGGGGGGCTGCGGGTAGCGGTCAGTGGTCGCAGGGCAGGGGCAGGAGGAAGGAAGGGGTGAGCAGTGGCGGGTTGGCAACTCCCAGGGCAGTGAAAGCCCTCGGAGCACCCCGCGGTCCTCCCCGTGTGTTCACGCCCACCGAATGCAGGGTCCCGCAGAGGGCCAGAATCCCGCAGAGACCTCGGTCCCGGGTGTTGACGTGTCACTGCAGGACACCAGCTGCCATGCGTGTACCTTCGGTGGGTGCTGGCAGTGGGGGGCTGAGCCCGAGTGGGTGGGCCCGTGGGAAGCCTCTGTGTCTCCTGCTCGACTTTGCTGGGAACCTAAAATTCCTCTAAAAAGAAAGTCTTAAAGAAAGCAAGGTCTGGGCTGAGAGGTGGCCAGGCCTCGGGCAGAGGGTCTGCGCTGTCCCCCTGGGATGCAGGGGGGTGGGTGCGTGGCAGCAGCTGACCTTGAGCAGTGCACACCCTGGCTAGCCATTCCGGCAGCTCAGGAGTTGGGGACGAGGTTAGCGGTGACAAGGACTGTCCTATCCCCTGCTCAGTGTTGAGCGCTTTGGGGCAAGTCACAAAACCTCTTGTCTCCAAAGAGGCTGCTGGGCTCTGAGCTTCCTGCCAAGCTGACATTCCAGGAGGGAAAACACCTTCCGATTGTGACCACACCATCACAGATGTGCCGCTGGTGAGGTTAGTGCTTTTATTAGGATCGAAGGGAAAGGGTCAGGGAGGAGATGGGAGGGTGCGTGGGGAGGTTCCTGGAGCCATTTTCTCGACATGCTGAGCCATCACACATCCCGGGAGGACTTAGCACCGCCTTCCAGGGGGAAGCAGGCCAGCTGGTGTTGCAGACCGGGCAGGGGGACGTCTCGCAGGGCTGCTCTCCTCCTGCCGAAGCGGCCCACAGGCCTGATCCCACGACCCGTGTACCAGGCGGGATTGATGTCCGGGGCTGGAAAGGAAAGCCCCAGAGCAGCGTGTGGGGTGCACGCTCCAGGTGTGTGCGTGTGCTCCCAAGGCACAGGCCAGGAGGACACACAAGTGCCTGCAGGTAACTGCGCCCCACGCAGGCCACCTGGGCTGCCTACTGGATGGTGCACAGAGGGCCTGGGTCATCTCTGGATGGGGACTTCGGGAAACGGTATTGAACATGCTCCCGCTCAGCTCTCCCTCTGCCCACAGGCATGGGGCTCTCAGTGACCGGTCTGTGCTGCGGTAAGAGGGGCCCCTCGACTGTTGCTAGCTCTGAGGCTTGAGGGAGCAGAGGCGGGCCCTGGGGGAGAACGGGAGCCTCTTACTGGTAGGCCAGGCTCCCAGAGCTGGGCACATGGCAAGGCTGGCACTAGTGGGCATAGGAGGTGTCAGGCCCTACCCCAGGGTGGGGAAGGGGGGGTGTCAGGCGCTACCCCAGGCTCCTGGGTGAGCGGGGGTGGGCAGGAGAGTGGCAGACTGTCGGGGTCCGACACTCACCACGGATCTCCATGGAGTGCGGGGGGGCTCGGCTCGCAGCCCCCCGCAGGGCAAGGTCCAGCACCAGCAGGCACAGAAGCCAGGCCCTCAGTGCCTCCATCCCGCGGCTGGTCCAGCGAGGCCTCCTTGGAGCGATCCCCCACAGGAGGGCACGGCCTGGGGCAGGGAGCGGGGGTTACACGTGCACGACGCCGGAGACCTCGTGTGATGTTAGCACTGTGTGTGAGGCGTGTGTCCACGTGTGCGTGCATGTGCAGGAGAGGATGCTGTGCAGGTGCGCGTTCCAGCGAACTGTTTACATACGTGTGTCCATGTGTGTATGTCCACGTGTACTTGCATGTGCAGGAGAGGATGCTGTGCAGGTGCGCGTTCCAGCGAACTGTTTACATACGTGTGTCCATGTGTGTGTGTCCACGTGTACTTGCATGTGCAGGAGAGGATGCTGTGTAGGTGCGCGCTCCAGTGAACTGTTTACATACGTGTGTCCATGTGTGTGTGTCCATGTGTGTGTGTCCATGTGTGTGTGCGCATGTGCACACAGCCACACTTCCTATGCGTTCCTGTCGGCTGGACCGGGCTGGGAATTTGTCTGGAAGTAGCAGGTTGACTGGGCCCTCTGCAGAGCCCCACCCTGGGGACCACACACAGCTGGCCCCACCCCCCGGGGGCCACCACCCGCACAGCGTCACCTCTGACAGCTCAGCGGTATCTGCGCCGGCTCACCCTGTCGTCAGAAAGAGCTGGGGCGCGAGCTCTGGGGTGTTCAGGTGGCTGTCTCAGGACCCCCGCGTGGCAGTCTGTCCACCCAGTTTGGGAGCCAGGAGGCATGCCAGCCTCTTGGCAGGGGCCTGAGAGCAGTAGGTTTGTGGGGGCGGGCCTCACAGGTGACTGGGTCCGACTCAGATTTGGGAAGGCTGGGACTGCTAACCCTGGACCGGCCTGTACACGGCTCCTTCCCTACTTGCAAGGCCCAACACCCAGTCCAGCCCGCCCCGGCCCCGCTGGAGGACCTAGGCAGCCCGCACTGCAGGACGTCAGCATGTCCCTCCTGCCCAAGACTCGGGTGGCCCAGATCCCACCTGCTGAGGCTCTGAGATATACCTGCAGCCCCTGGGGCCTGCTGTCACAGGGCAGGACACGCCCTGACAGATGGGGGGGCTGCTGTGGACAGGAGCAGGAGCCCCAGACCCACTTCTGCCTGCTGGAGGGGCACTGACCTGCCCCTGCAGCGTCCCGGCAGCCCTGGCGCCTGCACACGCGAGCCCTCTGGCAGCCCCGGCTGGCTGGGGAGCCCTCTGGCTGAGCCCCACAATCTCCATCACAGAAGGGAAAACGTCACCCTATCCTGTCTAGAGAGCTGCTGGGGTTTCCCAGAGGGGCTGGAGGGGAGGATCCCCAATCCACTGGGCCAGCCAGTGTTCCCCAGAAAATGGAGGAGCCGAGGAGCGAGGAGCAGCTGCGTCCTAGAATACCACCCATGCCCAGACACGGGAAGTGTCAGACCAGAGCCCCGCGCCCCCTCCAGCGCCTGGACGCGGTACTCACCGTCTCTGGGGCGAGGCGTGCAGTGAGGCCGGGTGGGAGTTCGCCTCCTTTATAGCCAAGGAGGCAGCCGCCCCAGGTGCCCTCCGTAAGCCAGCGTCTGGGTCCTCGCTTCCTGTCCCTAACGCATCCGCTGCCCCCTCCAGGTGGCGTCAGGAGAGGACCTTGGTCTGTTTTTCTCTCTTATTTTTTTAAACTCCCATCAGCGAGGTGACTCGCTCCTTCCTGGATTATGTAATTCCATTTGGCGAGTGGTTTAAGGCACATTAACAGCCTGCTTGTACCGGCCTCCGGGCAATGGCAGCCGTCCCTGCTCCCGTCCCTGCTCCCATCCCTGGAGCCGCGGCCCTCAGAGCAGAAGCCATCCCTGGCCCGGCTCTCCTCGCCGCTCCTTCAGCCCCGGTTTACAGTGGAAAGGTGGCCAGGGAACGCCACCCAGGCCTGGCTGAGCCACCAGACGCCTCCCTCACCCTTCTCGGTGCTTGTTCGCCCACCCCGGTCGCGTCCCCAGCAGCAGCCTTCATGCAGGGATGTGTCCGTTCTGGCTCTCCACCGGGAGAGTCCTGGCACCCAGAGTCTGACACTGGGCAGAGCCGCTCCCTGAGCCTCAGTCGGGCTTTTAGAAACCCCTCTTCACCTCCAGGGACCGGTTCCTGGAGACGGGCCCCCTCTCTGCCCACCCGCCTGTTTCTGCTGGTGAGGTTTTGGCCGGTGGGCTCCAGGGGATATGGGGCCGGGCAATCTCCACAGAAGTGTGCCCAGAGCGAGGGCCACCTGGGACAGCGGGAACCGTGAGACCTCAGAAGCTGGAGGGGGCCTGGGGGAGCAGTGATTCTCCCACTCAGCAAAGCAGCTTGGTCGCAGTGTGGCCTGGCGTGTCACCACTGTGGGGGCCACTGGGGGAGGCAGCAGAGGGCGGGAAGAGGTGCAGATACCCCCGGGGGTGCTGATGGCGTCCATAGGGCCCCGGGGCAGCTGGGAGACAGGTTGGACGGCTGAAATGTTGGCCACCCTGGTGAGAAGGGAGGAGAGGACAGGTGGGTGGGAGGTGGGCGGAGGAGGGGACCAGGGAAAGAACGGGGGGGGACTCGGGAGGGGCGGCCTGGAGAGGCACCGGAGCCTAAAGAGCAGGAGGGCTGTGCAGAGTGGGGGCCCCGAGCGGGCTCATGCTGAGGGCCGGGCGTGCCCATAGTTTGGGTCTGGAGTCGGGTCCTACTGTGATGGGACCAAGGGAGTGAGGGCTTAATCTGACTACGGTGTGGACACGTGGGGGTTTCAGAGGGGGCTCGGAGGTGGTTAGGCATGCGGGGGGGCGGCTGGAGGCATGACAGAGACCTACATGTTGGCTCTGCCTTGCCCTCCC